GTCAACAAATTTATTTCATTCATTTAAACGATCAAAGTACAAAGAGAGGGAATTAAGCGTCCTCCCACATTACTACAACATAATTGAAATGCAATAAAACATAGAGCAGATAAATCATCGCAAAAGATTATGGACAGCGGATCCAAGACATGTCTCAGATGCGTCCAGAGGGTCTTCGCGGCAAAGCCGGAGATTCTCAGGTTGGTCACTTTCCAATGTGACTTTGAAGGTCCCGGCATAAAGCACGGGAATTTGACCACTCTCACCGAGAGGAAAGAAGATACGACCAGTCTCAAAAAGCTGGAAGATGGTGGAATTGAACTCTTCCACCGGAAGTAAATTACAGGATTTGAGAATCCAAAATACTTTGATCTTCTCTTAATAGAGTAGATATCGCGCTCACAAATTTACAGGATTTGAGAATCCATAAAACTTTGATCCTCTCACAATAGAGAAGGTATATGACTCAGAAGAATTCCATGCTAAATCCAGCTTTTTGTCTTAACCCCATTAAACATATCAGAGTAGTAAAAACGTGTCATGAGCTTGGACTTCACGAATAATGAGATGGAAACGTGGGTAATGATCTTTGGAAAATTCAGTAGCCAATTTGGATGGAGGGCATGGACTTTTTGTCCATACATCTTCATTGCCCAATAGCCCATAGAGAGACCACCAAATCAAATGAATTTGTAAGGCCCAACCCCAAATAATTTTTTACAGCCCAAGACACTTTTGATGGGGTCGGCGCAGGGAAATAAGTCGGAGATTAAACCGGCCAACACTACGGTTGGCAAGGTTTTTGACGGCAGAGGAGACACAGACTTTCATCGGCGACGAGTAAAAGCCGGAGAATAAGCGCAAACTAGGCCCACTGGTGGAGCATCGATCTTTGGTTTTGACGGCCGAGAAGCGGGCATAGACAGTGAGAGAGCAAGAACCAAAGGGAATACGAGTAATAATACTCGAAATTGCAAGGCTCGGGATTCGCATAGAAGCAATAATTTGGAGCTCTGAACCCGATTTACTGACCTCGAATGCAGTGGCGAGGCCCAGATGAAGGAAGAACACTTTTGGTTTTGTTGGTCGGCTAAGCAGAGCAAAACATGACAAGAAGGTGGGGACACCGGTGGAC